CCCAAAACCCCAAAACCCCAAAACCCCAAAACCCCTCCCCATTAGAATTTTATTGTTTATATATCTAATCACTTAAAATGGGCAGTGGAGCATCAAACAAACGAAATCTTAACGATAAGTATAAATCCAGAAGACAAAAATCTCACAACGGTATACAAGTCTTACAGTTTTACAGTAAGCCAGAGTTCACAAATCTTCCTGATGGGATCTTGTGGAGAACGAAGAAAGAAAAGACCTTTCTTCCTGGCCAGTTGGGAGATTATACGATGTTGAAGGAGTATGGGATCATTAAGATTTTTCTGAAGAAGGAGAAAGCTGAAAAGATTGAGGAGGAGATTTATAGAGTGATAGAGGAGAAAGAAGATGAAAAATAGAGAAATTGAAGATGAAATGGAGGCAGGGAGTAGTATAGATAGGAAGAAGAAAGGTGAGATTAGCAATATTCAGAAAATTATATCTGATTATCAGAGAGTTCTTAAATGCATTCAAGACAGAAATAATAATCAGAGTGACGAAGAAAATAAGTCTTATCATAGTTCTGTTTCTGAAGATGAGAAATAAAGAAATGGATGATTGAGTAAACAATCCAACTCCAATCCAAAAAGACAAGATTAAAGACTGGATTAGGAAGCATGATACAGGTATGGCTGATGCTTACCGAGATAATGGAAGACTACGACTAATTTTAACCAACCCTAAGCATGTAAAAATTCTCGATGAGATCCTAGATAATCTTGATAAGAACCTTGATAACCCTGAAGGCTATATTCTTCCAGACTTAAACACCTTAGAAATAAAATTAGTAGCTAATATCGTTGATAAGGCTGATAAACTACTAAGAAATCATTTCCCAATCAAAGTCAAACACCTCTGGGTGAGAAACAACCATTCAGAGCATGATATTACAAGGTATTGGAACATACTGGATTCCATCGATTCTCAAAGGATGAATCAACTTGTGCTATCTAAGTTTTACATACCTGCAGATATTCTTGGGAATATTTTTAACCACTTTTATCAAGTCAGAATTTTAGCCTTCTGGTACTGAAAGCTTGAAGCAGAAGAAGTTGAAATCAGCGATGAAATTGAATTTGAAATAGAGCATATTGTTTTTAAGAATTGAAGGCAAGGAACAAAGAGGAATAGATATCTTGATTACTTATGGCGTTTTATCGAAGCTATTGGGAGATCTAATCTCAAGGACTCTCTTCAGTCATGCAGGTTTAAAAATGATAAAAAAGTGAAAATTAAACCTCAGGAGATCCAAAAAATTTTCTATTGCAATGGAATGACTGATGTTAAAGTTATTGAAGCTATTTATGAGGGATTAGAGCTAGATTATCAAAAATTTTAATTCAATATATATTTTTACCTACGGGGTTTTGGGGTTTTGGGGTTTTGGGG